TTAGTTTTACGGCTCATTAAGATTTGTGTCACTACCATTACATGTTTATATTGGTGTCACTATCACCACGCTTTCAAGGTGGTTGGCCACGCGCTTGGCCGACGGGCCGTTAAAGAACATTGACATTAACATTTTACGTTAATTTCATTGAAGGTGTATACACGTGGTGGTGTGCTGCGCCTTGTCGTACAAGAAAGACACACACACGTACAGTACACAGAGATGCACATATACGCACAGGTGAGAGCAGCTTCAGTCAATGAGTCAGCAATTTAGAACGGTCAGGGATGTCCGGCGGGAGGGGACCAAACGCCAGCTGCAGGCAGCCGGTTCCGTGCGGCGGCGGCGCGGTAGCGAAAATTCCGCTGGGTGGCGGTCATTCGAACATGAACCCCATTGATGTCGTGAGCGCCTGTTTGAGCTCATGTGTGAATCATTGTCGGCCCGTCGGAGCCAGGAGCGCGTGCGCTGTAGAATCGCGTTAGAAATGAAAGATGTTAATGAGCACACTCTGTTCTGCGCCTTGCTTGACATATCATTTATTGCACCACAGGAACTAGGCCAAAAAGAAACTTCCGGCGCGCATGACTTCACAACGCGTTTACATTGTACAGACAGCAAGTCTGCTCACCCATCGATGCCAAAGAGCACCACGCTAAGACTTACCCAGAATTCCATCACATAGTTTATTTACCCCCCCCCCCCCCACCCACCCCCCACACCCACACGAAGGGTGCCGATCAATATAGTACATGGTGCCTGGGACCACACACAAATCACCGGCGGATAGCAAAGCGCAACTTAGTTGCAAACAAATGGTGTTCAACTGCGAAATGAAGACTAACGTAAGCGCTCGCTAGATGTCACTATTAGTAAAGCCGATTGACTTCCCGCTCTTCGCCTGACGCTTATCATGCACCTGTTTCTGGTCATAAGGTATTCGCATTGCAAATACAGATGGAGTTTTCAAGCTCTCGGGACAAAGTCTCACCCAAATGCTGGTCCCCCTCTCTTCACAAAACGCGGCAATGTTTGAGGGCATCGGGCCTTCTTACCAAACCGTTTGGCGTCACCATCACGACGTTGCAGAAGTTATGCTTGCAGCGTCGCATTTTGGTGCCGAAAAGGTCTGTGGATGGTACAGTTGCGACGCCATGATGTAGAGTAGTGGCGAAATCGGAAAACGGTCGCATCTGGCGTCACAGTGCCGTTGTGGCGACGCCGCCTCCAAATTTTCGGACATCCAGGGATGAGGTGGCGGCGCCGCTCGTGCGTCGTGGAGATGACTTGACAACATTACGCGCATGCCACAGGGACGTTGAGATGATGCCACGCAGAGGCCGTGGCGACATCAAAACGACGCTGCTACAATACCGGGGCGGCGCACCACTTACGTTGCTACATACTCGTGAAAGCATCAATGTGATATTATATGTCCACTGACATGACCGCGCAATCGAAACATCCGAAAGTCCTTGTGACCACCAATGTCACATTTTAAATGCCATGATGGTATATAAATGTTCCCTCTGCTCTCGGTGTTAATCGCCCCATGGTCACGTTGTCAGTCGTTGGTCACACGTTCACTCACGTAAAAAAGCGTACCGCGTGCCCTCTTACATACACTAACTCCCGGCAACAGCTGTTCTGCAAATGAAGCGGGAGCGGTCGCAATTTGGTCACTGAGGTGTCAAGCCGGGCCAAAACCAACTTCTACCAGGGTCCTTACAATGTATCGTGCGCAGGTCGCCAGGACTGAGTATTCATGCTCAGAAAAAAAAATCGGCGAAGCTTTAAATTCGGTCCGTTTTTTATAGCGCACAAATTGGTGATTCACTTTGAACAAGCATTTGCCGAGCAGTTAGCCGCTTGGCCCCCAGGTCATAAAAGGTAAGCATTACTACTTCGATCAGAACACGCTATTTCATACCACGTCTGACTAAGACGTACTCTAAGCATACAATTTGCCATTTTAGAACCTACGCCGCTGTGAGGAAGATGTTGGAAACTCGAATCAAATCAGAATCCGTATGACACATCATGCAGTTGTATACAGCTACAGCACACGGTTGTAATGTTGCTGTTTAAATGACTGGCTGTACTAAAGATGTTTGCATACAACTTCTTTTTTCATTCTTCTCCGTCCAATTAGCAGTAAAATACCAATATTCTGCCCCGGGAGGTTTCAGTTTTATTCCAGCCTGCCTCGGTCTGGACTCAGTTAGTCTTCATTATATTGTTTCTATAGTTTTGAACCGGACAGTCTTCTCTTTCGACGCCCTATCGTTAGCTACTGTTCGACGCATGTACACTGGCTGCGGCATAAACCCCTTCTAGGCCACTTCGTTAACACATTTTGTACACTAAATTTGGCGGTTGCGATGAGTCCCCGAGCATTTGATGCTGACGTTGACAAACATACCCTTTACCCCACTGTCTAATCTGGGACAAATTCTCAAAAATGAGCAACACGTTTTGAACTACTTCAAACCCTTTGCGAAAGCATTAACAAGCCATATTTTGATATCTTACCGAAGTGGTCAAGCCTTAAGCGCCAGTAAGTACACGCAAAAGCAAGAAGGGCTATGGACGGTGAGGCGAGACGCAGACAGGAGTGCGGAAAAGCACCGCGTCACCTGTCCACGATTGTCAGGACAGACGTGGAAAGAGATATAACACGTCGCGTGCGCGTGGCCGAATGATTGCATGTAAACAAGCAACGTTATATATGGTACATTGCAATGTGTTGTAATGTGGTGCCACATCGCGGGACGGGAATTTTCTTTTACTTGTTCAGGAAACAATTTATAAACTGTCGGCACAGAAAGAGCGTTGGCGGATTACCCGTATTCATCAACCTTAACTCACTGGAGCACTTGATTAATGATGTCAAATTTGTTGGCCTGGAGAGGGCGCGAATCAAAACTGTGATATAAACGAGATATAGAAAGAAACAAATTCAAATGCTGTAAACGCCACGGCTTCAAGGGGGACTCAACTTGAAAAATATCCGCTACAAAATGTGTCGAAGAAATGCCCAAAGGGGCTATCCCACAAAAATGCATATGCGTGGCACACACACACACACACCACACACACACACACACCACACACACACACACACACACCACACACACACAACACACACACACAACACAAACACACACACATATTATATATATATATATATGTTGTGTGTGTGTGTGTATGTGTGTGTGTGTGCGTGTGCTGTGTGTGTGTGTGTTTGTGTTGTGTTGTGTTGTGTGTGTGTTTGTTGTTTTTGTTGTTGTGTTGTTGTTTGTGTGTGGGTTGTGTTGTGTGTGTGTGTCGTATGTCTCTTGCAATACTTTTTAAACAGCGCATTCCAAGTTTGAAAATGTTATGGCAAGCATCAGACACGATGAAAAGCCCTCTTGTAAATGTTCGCATGCGTTGAAATGCAAATGACTGTTCTAGAACCAAAATCTCACTATTTGGTAACTACGCTCCTTTATCCGTCACCGTTTGCCTCCGTCACATTTCGTCAGTCAGACACTGAATCGCCTCGGACGCTGATGCCCCTTGGATATTGACGACGGTGGTGTCGCTGGCCCCGCTTTGGCTACCTCTTCACCTGATGCCCCCAGTATGCCCCAGACCCATTTCGTGTGTTGCTCACACTCCCGTAGTGACTGGACGGCGCCCAGCTCCGTTCACTGCCCCTGGCAAGGTCCCTCGCTTCACTTCGACAACCACGTTAGTCGACCACCCGAATACTCGACCTACTACTCGACACTCGGCACTTACGCCGTGGCGCAGCCAAGGGACGAAAATGTTTTTTTTTAACAAAATCAGCATTTTCTGGCAATCAAAGTAAACTCAGACTATCTGCGGCCCATGTGATCTCTCTGTTCCACACCCCAAAATTATGTGGAGGATAAAACCAAAAGATATCCTCACTACGCAAGGAAACAAAACACCACAGCACACCCATCTTCGGCCCTTCCTAGGCTCCGATTCATGTTGAAGGCCGAGGTTGTAGTGGAGCTCAGAGTCGAACATGTTCACCATGTCAGACGGCAGATCATGTTCAGAGATAGCCAAAATCGGGACACCAGCCTTACCTTCATGACTACCGGACTTCAAGGGACCCTCACAGCTGGATAACTCCGCTAGAAAGTCAGACCATAAACCCAATCTGCTCAGGTGCTTCAAATGTCAACGATTTGGACAATGTGATGAATATTGCAAACAGAGTGCCGGGTGCCTCAAGTGCGGCGAGGCCCAGATATTTTTTGGGAAAAGGGCAAGGTAGATGCAATCTCGCCAGCAAACACGACGCACCGTCGAGGCAAAAATGTGTTCCACAGAATATTACGCACAAACAGCAAGAGTTCAAGCTGCCAAATGTTGTACACAGAACAAGCCAATTCTCCATCTACCTTCTGTGAATATTCTCGTTCCAATCAACACTGTTTTGGTCACATTAAGTACACAAAGCAAAGCAATTTATGTCGTCGAGACGCCCCCGGCCATGCGTTTGGATAAAAAGCCGTCTGTGTCTTCCCCGCCCCCAGGGTGGCTGGCGTCCTAGCCCACCGGCTCTGCATGGCTCGTGTGCGGCTCATGGCTCGCGAACGGTGTTACATGCACCATACGGAGTCATATACCGCTTACAATGAACCGTGGGATGGACTACATTTCTCGGGCGGTCATACCTTGGGCTGGTCAGATCGTCAACATGCACGAAATTTAAGGATCCCGGGTTGAATAACTGAAAATGTTGCCTTTTGGAAAAGCCACAGATCGCAAATGAAGAAAAATGGGCATGCACTGAATCGGGCGAATATCCAGTCTACCGGAACCTCCAGCTCAACAACCCAATGCATGGAACAGCTCTACCGCATTTACCACTTTGTCTGGCATCACGTACCAGATGAGCTTGGCCTAAACTAAATTTCCTACTAGGTCTGGCATCTGTTTACGCTGGGCTCACGCTTCTCACCATCCGATGCGCCTACGATTTCGAAGCTCCGCCCGCCCGCGCGTCAGGCGATGGACGATGGGTGAGTGCCGGTCGACAGTAGTGGGAAGGTCGTCGTGGGGTGAGGGTGTGGGTTCTGCTTCCTCAGTCCTTAAAACATGCTTAGGCGGACTTACGTAAGATAGGTCTTTTTGGTGATAGTTCGGGCGCTGCAACTTGTCCTGACCTCGCAGTGCGCCGTGACTGTCTCTTGCAATATTTTGGTCAATTGCTGACAAAAATTGCTCGATATGCAAAATAATCTAACAAATTCCTCTGGTCGGGTAAGCATTTATTTGTTTTTATGCTTGACAAGGCATCCTTTGTCCAGTTTACTGCTTGAATGACATGTGCACTCCAGACATTGGTCAGTCAGTTATGTTATACCCTGGGATATGTTGACACCCAACAGGCTTCCTGTCAGCATGGCAATTTTGATTTTATTTGCTGGATTTGTTTATGATGGTGGCAGCATTTTCGGTTTGCCTATTTCTGTAAATCATGAGTACATTGAAATTTGTGCTAGCTACACCTGGCTGATATTGGGTAGCAGCCAGCCTGCCACATTTACTGGTTGCAGCAGAGATAACCAACAAACTAAAGTATTGATGTTATGATTGGGTTTGAACTACAGAAGATGATAATGACAGCTCAGTAGCGTAAGCATGTAGTTATGAAGTCCTTTGCTTGGAATCCAAGACAAATACTTTGATTCTTGGCCAATGTAGCCAGCTATATGCAATGGTTGTCAGTAATTTCAATGTACTGCTGTGATTTGATTTTTGATTGATTAATGCTGATTTGAAATGCTCAGTAGAAAAAGTACATGAAAATTCCTGCACTCTGGTTGTAATACCAAAAGGTCATTAGTGCATGCCGCCTAGTTTTGTTGACAGCTGCCGGGATTTCTCTTAAGTCATACACACCCACTGTATCTTGTTATGCAGTGAATAGCATTTGATTGTAGCTACATTTTTATCGCTGTATTGTATTTGCATTACTGCCTTTCATTAATATTGTATTATTCTATTAAGAGTGTCCAGGCTTGCAAACAAGGTCCCAGTTCTACATACTCTTTGGATAAAACTCATTTATGGTCTGGAATGAAAGTATAGTAATGTGGTCAGCTTTCAGTCTTTAAAACTGTTTTGAAACATGCACACCTGCATAGAGAAAGCACTTATCACAGTGCTTAATAAGCTATAGTTTACCCACCCATGACTGACTACCTACATGCTATGCATTTTGCAGATCTTGGATCAAATGTACTGCAGTATTTAAGCAAAGACATCCTATGTGCCTAATCCATTCCTTCATGTTGTTTTCTCTCTGATTAAATCAGAAGATGCCTTTAGTACTACATTGTAAGATGACAGATGCTTTCCATATGTTACCTTGGACTCAAAAAGAGATACTTAATAGTCTGAGCTTGTTTCCCTTGCTTTGAACATAGCCATGAAATAAAAATTTGAATTTGGATAGCTGTGTTACCACAAACTGTTTGGGGTGACAAAACTTCCACAGAGGGTGGCATCATTTACCCTACAGCAAGGCCTGCATGTTCGTGTTTGTGCTGGCAACAGCCGCCCCCCTACCAGACCATTACTGTCTCAATCCAGGGGTCGGACGACCTCCCAGCCGGTCTCCGGGCAAACAGTGGGCTATGTCCGAGGGTCGAGCCGCACGCCGTCACACCGCGAACGTGCGGCCAATCTCTGTAGCGACGGCGCTGACCCGTGACGCGGCGGCGTGGAGTATGCAGCAACACTACGGACAGGACACAGTCATGTCCGTCCGGCCGGCCGGCCGTCGCGTCCGAATCTGACGACGCGGGCCGCGCCGTTCCAGATGGAGAACCCGTACCTGACCACGCCGGCACTGCTCGGTCTGTCGCAGCACACGGCCGGCTTCTCGGAGGCGCTCAGGATGTCACGCACCTTCGCCCACCAGGTGAGCGGACAGGCGCCGCCCTCCCCACGTCCTTCCACGGGGGTCTTCCGCGCGCCACGGCCCGCACCAGGGGTGGCGGCGTCAGTGCGTCAGCGACTGCATGTGCCGAGATGTAACGCTGCGACCCAAGAGCGGACGCTGCCGCTGGGGACTCGCGCTGCCAGCCGAGAAAATGGGGCTGCATCCTATCTGGTTCATCATGTCGGTAGCTGGGTCTTGGCTCGTACAATGGCAGATTGCTGGTGTCACCGGCGTGCCGCGCAAAGGAGGAGACGCCTGAAACTTTGCCGTGGCGTGACATAGCCGTGGAGATACGTTACACGTGGTTTGCGGGCGTCTATTTTGGAAGTTAAAGTGCAAACGAGAAACGGTAACAGAGGCTCACAGCAATACATTGTGTGTTGCTTCGCTCGACTCACAATGCGTCCGTACATAACGTGAGGCATTAGCTTCGTTTCTTAGCTTGCGCACCCTTTTCTTGCGGCAAGCCGTATACAGCCGCCGTTATATACAGTTACATACGCGTTGTGTGCGTATGAACTGCGTCGGGTGGACAGCTGCCGGCCCGCTGCCCGCAGGCGGCTGAGAGCAAGGACTACGGCGGCGCGTTCGGTGGTGGACCGCTGGCGCTGCGCTCGTTCGACTTCCCCTCTCTGCCGAGCCCGCTGTTCCTGTCGTCGCCGTTCCTGCCGGCCGGCATGGACCCGCGGCTGCCGTTCGGCGGCAGCGCCTTCCACCCGGTGACGTCCGCCGCCGCCGCCGCCGCCGCATTCGACCGCAAGTTCTTCGCGCCGGCCAAGCTGGAGGCCAAGTGCGAGCCAGCCGGCGAGTATGGCGAGGTGTCGTCGACGGCCGGGGCGGCGCGCCGGCCGCCCGACGACGAGGAGCGGCACTCGTCCGGCTCCGAGCGCTCCAGCCCGGAGGACGCACGGCTCAAGAGTGAGTACCGCACAGGGCGCTACGTGTGGGCGCGCGCGGGTCGAGGGGTCGGGGCGGCGCTCCGGCGGTCGTGCTGGCCTCTGGCCCGCGGCGGAGCGACCGTCCGGTGTTTGTGAAGCGGGTGTTTTGTGGAGGACGTGAACTCGCGATCACTGGGTGCTCCTGTCGGCGCGTCGCGTCGCTGCCACTGCCCCCTGTGCCCGTCTCCTGTTGTGTGCCCCGGTCCCCGAGTCCGCCTCCCGCCCGCAGCCGTCGCGCCCGCCGTGCGACTGGTTCGGGTCCTTTGCGGCCGCTCCTGCACTGCCCCCTTTACATCGCCCTGCGCTGTCCGGTGATGCCCTGCGCTCTCCGTTGATGCCCTGCGCCCTCCGTTGATGCCCTTGTAGCTGTCTTCTGTCGATTGCTACATCCCACTCTGTGGGAAGTGGCTGTCCCTTCTCTCTGCTGCCGCATAGTGGCTGCCCCTGTTCCCTGTCGCTGCTCAGCGGCTGTCCCTTTTCCGTGCCGCTGCAAAGTAGCTGCCGCTTTTCTCTGCTGCTTCACAGTGACTGTCCCTTTTCTCTGCCGCTGCACAGTGGCTCTCTCTCCTCTCTACCGCTGTACAGTGGCTGTCCCTTCTCCCTGTCGCTGCACCGTTCTCTGCGGCCTCCGTGTTGTGGTAGCTGCGCTGTCCAGCGAGGCATGCCGCCCGCGGTAACGGCAGTTTCTCGTCCCCATCGGACGTACTGCCGCCCAGGAGGCTGCAGTGTAGCAAGACTTCAGACTTCAGACTGCAGACTGCAGACTTCTCTGGCTGTCGTGATCACGCTACTGGTGTCCGCGGACACTGGCGTTGTGTGTTGGCTGATGATTTAATCACAAGATCACGAGACATCCGATTTCACGGTTGATGCCGTCTTTAACACGCCTCGGTACCATGCTCATATCCTGATACTTTGTGACCACGTAATTAGCATCATATGGGTACGGCATCTCCATTTGGAGATACAGGACGTATGATTCGTTGCAGAGCGAGTGCTGTTGGATTTCAAGTCTGAGCAACACCAGCACGTAGAAGTTTACTGGGTTGTTTTATGCTAGTTAGAGTTTCAAACAGTATTTTGTTACGATATTTCGTCAAGCTTACGATTTCTATGGCTATTAAATTAGCTTATCTGTACTCGTAAAAAAAGGCAGTTTGCTAATCAGTCTCATTAAGCCCATGTGCCATGTACTGGATGATGACGCAGTAATTTGATCACAAGGCAAACGTGAAAGCTTTCCCGTTTCTGATTCAAATTACCATTTCTATGAGAACGATAATGCTGCTAGTGGCATGATTTGCAAATTGATTATTGATAAAGCTTTCCCGTTAGTCATCGATTGTACGTGGGCTACCTTTTGTTCAACGCAGCGTGAATACCGTGGCTAGAAGGCACTTTTTTAAGTTGGTATGTAAGTTGAAGCCCTTTTTGCACTCCTACTGTGCTGAATCGAAGTCCGCGTCGTTAGGACATATTGGGTGCACGTTCGCACGGAGCTCTTGGCTCATATAAACACCGCTCGGGCCATTCCGGTGTTCCCTGTACACATCAAAGTGTTCCGCTGCTCCCGGTGCCCTCCAGACCGTTGTCGTGCGCTCGCGAGCCTCCACACCGCCGTGGTTTTTCCGTGGTCGCGACGCGTTACGGCCACCGCCCGTCGTCGCCGCGCCGGTAATAGGTCGCCCCGGGAGGTGACAAGCGGCGCCCGCTAATTGGCCCGCCTGTGCTCGCGCCGGCCGCCGCGGCCCGGCCCGGCCGGCGGCGCCCGCTGAACACGGCCGCCGTCGGACGCGGCGTCACGGCGTCAGCGATGACAGCCGCGCCGGCGGCGCGAGACGCGGCCCGCCCCCGCCGCGCGCCGCGCGACACGGCTAATTATCGCCGCCGGTGGGGGGCGCCGCCCGCCGGGGCCGCGCCACCTCGCCGGCCGCGCCGCCTCGCCAGCCGCGCCGATGGCGGTCCGATTACGGCGGCGATCTCGGACGGGCTGTGTGCCGACGGTCGCGCCGCTAAGCCCCGGCGGCGGCGTTAACCACTGGCGCCCTCCGGCCGGCTTTTTCACGCGTGAATCACTGGCGACGGATGGCTTAGCGGCCAGTGTCACCGCGGCACCGCCGCGATCCCCGGCTAACACGGCTGGCGGCGTTTTTATCCGGGCTGGATCCACACGTCGCCAGCGGCGCGGCCGTATCTCGCGGCGCCGTGCCCGCCTGATCCCCCTTTGTGGAGATAGCCGGAGCGCGGCCGGCTATCGGCCATTACCATACTAATGCGGGCTCGCGGGCCGCGCGCCGGCCGGCTGGCCCGGGGCCGCGCCGGACGGCCGCCGCTGACCGCCGCCGCCGTAAAGCGTCGGCTCCGACGGCGCCGACAGGCCGGACCGCCGCCCGCCGGCCCGGCCTCGCGCTGCGGCCGGCCTGGGTCGGCACCCAGCCCAGACTCGGCGTCTGGCTCGGGCCCGGACCAGACGACAGGCCGTCGGCCGTTCGACGATGCTCGAAGGGATTGTTCTGGGTCCGCGATTGGAAGGCTGAAAACACCCGATTGACTGAACACGTATTTGGTGGCTTCCGTTTACCGCCGTAGCTTAAGATTTACTCGCTTGTTGGCGTTGCAGCAATGCGGGTGAGGAGATAGGACAGAAGCGGGCGCGTTCGCAGACAAATACGACGCTCCGGTCTGCTTTAGACGTTGGCCGGGCAGGGCATATTTTAGATCTGCTGGATGCTTTTCAGTTGTTTTTTTTCTGTGCGTGGCTGTGTTATGCCGGAGTACATCACGATCGGAACATCTCCATCGTTCCCAGGTGTTCAGTGCCGTATCACGTGATTACCGTGTTCTTTGGTGTCGCTGTTGCAGCGGTTGTCGCCGACGCCGCGCGAACCGTCCCCGCCCGGCGGCCCACCTCACGACCTGCGGTCGGGTCGAGTCGGCGCGTGCTGCGCGTGCTGCCGACCCGCACCGGCGGCGGGTCAGGCGGGCCCCGCCCGCTCCCGGGAGCCGCCGCCCCTGAATCGATGCCCGGTCCGACTCGGCCCGGCAGCTGGCCGGGCCCCGGCCGACCACCGCCGCAATGGCCGCTCCCGGAATCCGATTAAAACGTCACCCTGATAGATGCTGATGTGTTATTGCCGTCTCTTGTCGGCACCGCGGCCGGGCTAAGCCGGCGTGCCGCGGCCCGCCACCGACCGATGCATAATGTTGTGAATATGCCGACAGGCAGGCGCCGTATTTCGGCCAGAACGGCCGTGTCGAACGGCGGCGAGCAAATTGCCAACGGCTGCAGGATTGTGCTTGAGGAAAAGTTGTGGCAGGGTCTGTCAGATGGCGTGTCATCGTTCAGAGTTATTGCGATTGGTCGTGTTCGCTGGGAGACGATATTCGGGCGGGACAAAGTGCGTGACGGACGCGCGGCCCTCAGCCCTCACGCGGACAAAGTGGCCCGGTTTGATTGCCGCCGCGCCCGGCACACCGTGTATGCCACCAGGGCCCAGCCACCCGGATCTATGGCGCAGCGCAACGTCGGCAAACGTCGCTATGTCCGGGTCGTGGTGTGGCAAAGCCTGGCTCGTTGTAATGTTTCGTTTTATTGCCTCGTGCTGCAGTGCCGCTGGCGTGCGCGCTGAACGGCGTGCAGTTCGAGTCAACGCGCGTGATTCAAGGTGCATATGCCGTGACGCCCTAACGAAGCGGCCCTGTCTCCCTCGGCTGACGCTGAGCTTGTATCGTCTTTCAGCCCCTGCCACCGAGGCAAGAAATCCGCTAAAAGAATCGCGCGCACTGATGCCGGAAAATTCAATTAGCTAACAACTGAGTCTGGCTATTTTTTAATAGCGGCGGGGAGAGGACGGCCAAGTTGCGACCCGTTTTGTGCGGGGGGGAGGCAGACTGGCGGCAGGCGCCGACTGCTACCGACGCTGTAGGAGGGGGGGGGGGAATCCGGAACTGCCCCGATCGAGGGATGGGTCCGTGCCCACTCCGCCGCTCGGAGGATTACCGGGCGATCTGGGCTCGTCACGAGCAGTCGTTACCAAGCGCGTCGAGTGGCGGACGACGGCCTCGGCCGGCGGCGACCCCCGCTGGGCGGTAATTATCCGCTGGTACTGGGTCAGGTGGCCCAAGTCACACCGGTCAGTGGGCCCGGACGACCGCCGTGCCGCGTGAGAGGACGACACAGAGTCCGGTCAGACTCCCAGACTGCTGTGTGGGAGGACGACACAGGGTCCGGTCAGACTCTTAGGCTGCCGTGTGGGTGGACGACATAGGGTCCGGTCAGACTCCCAGACTGCTGCGTGTGGGGGGATGACATAGGGTCCGGTCAGACTCTTAGGCTGCCGTGTGGGTGGACGACATAAGGTCTGGGGAGGCTCCCAGACTGCTGCGTGAGAGGACGACACAGGGTCCGGTCAGACTCCCAGACTGCCGCGTGAGAGGACGACATGGGGTCTGGTCAGACTCCCAGACTGCTGTGTGGGAGGGCGACATACGGTCCGGTCAGACTCTTAGGCTGCCGTGTGGGGGGACGACATACGGTCCGGTCAGACTCCCAGACTGCTGCGCGTGGGGGGACGACATAGGGTCTGATCAGACTCCCAGACTGCTGAAACGAGTGGTGTCTTGCTGTGCTGGCCACAGGGTATACCAAAGTGTGCCCAAAGTCGGAAACATTTCTGGGCGTTTGTGCGCTACTTTATCACCTCACGTATCCATCCTGGTGTTGCCTCCAGAGGGATGATGTCGAAAAGTGAATGAAAATGCGCCGCCGAAGCATGGCTTCGGTGACGTTCACGAACACATGTCATACTGCCAGCGGATTTAAAGCTAATTGTGGATATTCCGAAGGACTCAACCAGCTAGTCGCTGGTGTTTCGAACCGAGTTAGGGTCTTGTCCTGCGCTCTCCACATGGTTTGGCTTAAGATAAGTCATATACATGTTCGTGAACATTTGCACATGTACTCATCAACTCACGTATTGG